TAATAGATATGGTTGTGTGACAAGCGTGACTACCCGATAATTTTCGTATCTTTTTGCGTTTCGATAAAATGATCCTCTCCTGATCGTTTACGACATGGAAAAATGAGAGTTAGACAAGCTACATTCAGGAACAATTTTTACTTGGTTCTCAGGCCGACAATGACAATCTGCTGTGTGCACGGCTTGTTACATGCCACAGAACGTGATGCTTGTGATGATAGCGTTCTATCGCAGCAAAAGAGAGAGGTTGACACCTCCTAAATGGCAGCTGCAAAATATCGGTCTTGTGGTAAAATCCTTGATACTGCTTCAAAACTCACGCGCGCAAACTTCACGGACAACGCTCCAAAATATAAAATACTTCTCTTAACTTGTTTTTTTGAAGCACCGAAAATGGCGGCAAGCTCAATTTTGACACTCTTTCAGCATTTAGTTCGCATCGATTTAAAAACATCTCGCTACTTACGAGTGATATCACTCCCTCTAATAAAGGGCGCAAAGTGAAGTGTTCAGAGGGTAGATTTCCAGTAAGTGCGATGTTCCAGCTGGAGTTAAACCTTGTTTAATACTGACAAGAAAAACACGGCAGAGAAAATTAAAAAAGATTTTTTTTTTCATTATTTTACTTCATTTGAGTTTTTTTCTGGGGTGGGAAAACAGGTTGCTCGCTTGCAAAGTCCGCAGATGTTGTGAACTATCCCATTGCAAGATCTGCCGTGGGTTATTATTTCATGAAACGTGCTAATTGATATTTTGTTTATTAAACGTGTTAATTGATTTTATCCAACAAAAGTCAATAAAGCCATAAGTATAACTGACAGGAGTTAACGCCTCGAGTAGATGGTGGGGGGGCCGAATTCTTTTGGTGTTCAAAGCTCGTCATGAACTGAACCTGTAAAAAAAAAAATCTTCTTGGGTGAGAAGAACGATTTGGAGGGCAATTTTCGGAAATTCTCCAAAATAAGAAAATACTACTAAATACATGTTGAGGATCCTTGGAATTTTCGCACAGCTGCTTGAATATTCATATCCTGTCGACAACTATCAAATATTGTCGAAAACTATTATACATCGACCCAGTGACGCACTTTGATTGTTGGCCATAGCAACAGACTGACCTGTAGCGGACTCAGTTCACAGTAGTAATCTAGAATGATCTTAGGTGGAAGATCTTGCAGTACATCTTCTTTCAGGCGCCTCAATAGGAATGGTAAAACCTGACGATGAAGGGCCTCCATAGCCGAGGCCCCTAAGAAAGGGACACATGTGTCAATACAGACCACGGTATCACCTCATGTATGACCCACAATGCCATGAAATCTTACTGACAGGCAAAGAGTCTACTGCTAGAGGACCTTCATTTTCTACTTTTTCAAAAAAATCCTCATCGTGGAGGGACAACTCGCTTTCTGTAGGGCGTGGTCTTTGGAATGAAAAGGGTGAGACCGGCGGGAAATCCAGGGTAAAACCATCTAACATTTCAGTCAAATACACGAAGTAGTAACCTTATATAGCTGAAAAGTGGGAGCGTATTGCACGAGCCGGTTTTACGTTTTTTTACTGGGGAAGCACAACATTTATTGTCCTTTTTGTTCAACAAACGCTGAGCCAGATCTCTGGCTGCTAAGGTGGCTAACACATGTAGCTAGCGACTCCGTGGAACTCTTGAGAGGCGGAGAGAGGATGATACCTACGACGGTCATTTAACTGTTCAGATTGCCTTATTTTTCATTTAGGACGAGGAGCTACGCAGGCTTTGTGTTAGCTACTTAGTACTCAATTCCCAGACACTCATCAGCTTCTTGTTCCTTTGAAGACGATTTTGCGTCTCTACTCTGTAGAATGGGTTTACCAAACCGAGACTGAAACTACTTTTCACTTCCGAGAAAACCAGGCATAAAGAAATCAAACAATGACCACAGCTCCAGGACATTATTCTGAAAATAAAACGAAGCAAGTCATCAACGTAAGGCATCGCATCAAGTCTTTATAGGACTGAACAAAGTAAAGCAATACAAAAAACTACAAAATTACGCTATTAGACGGAAAGATAACTCATAACAAAGGAGTATGATGAGAATGAAACAAAAATAAACGACACATTACAACGAGCAACGTCTCAATTGTCACAATTTTTAATGTTGTGACGTAGAATATTTAAGAGACATGAACAACGTTTTGCTGTTCGACAGAAGCTGCTGTTGACATTTCCTCACATTATACCAGGCAGAGGAAAATATTTCGTTCTCCTC